AAAAAAAAAAAAAAAAAAGGGAGAAAATGGCCCTCTAAAATGCTGTGCCTGAGGTGGAGGCCTCTTGGGCCTCTCCTCAGGTCCCTGCTTATGTGGATGAGCCTGCTTGGACAGTCTGCAGCTCGGGGGGAGAGAGAGAGAGAGAGAGAGAGAGAGAGAGAGAGAGATGGAAACACGTCACCTAATTTTGCTTTTGTTTTTTATAAACTAATCAACAAAGTAGACAAAATCTATTTAGACTGGGTCGCTGCTCGGTTGGCATGCAAAAAGAAGCAAGTCCTGTTGGTTCTTTAGGCTGGCCTCGCCGGGCGCCTGACTAGGTGTACCAGCATAGCTTATTTTATACCTCTATTCTAGACCAATTTGGTACGTCCTTGAAAATTTTTAATCCTACTGAACTCTGGCTCCTAAAACTACCAAAAATGTTTGTTGATCAACGCACTTTTCTCCTGGCTGCAGAAATAAAGATTTGAACCCTCACTCACATCAGACATCAAAAGAAATAGCAAGCAAATATTTCTGCAGTTGCATTCTCATCTACAATGCAACAATAAATAACTTTCCTGCAATGGGAGGAACAACATTAGATCAACTCGCAACAATTTGTATTTAGGGAGAGCTAACTATCAAGACCTTGGACTGTGCGGAGATATGCTCCATGAAATGCAAAGTACCGAATAGCTGAAATGCACACACTGTAAACATCTCGAGGCACCATTTCACTTGTACCTCCATGGAAACTTCCTTCCTTGAAAAAGTAGCAACTCCAATGGGGTTGTCTTGTCTACCACAATACTTCAGATTTCAGGTAATCAAACGATGCATAGCTCGACACAACATCTGCCAAGTTACTAAGCAAAGTAGCACTATGCCGTAATGAAGTACTAAAAGACCGCCTTTATCAAAAGTCCTTGACATAACCTCAGAATACCCCCTCCATCCAAACTCCACTCCACCCCTACCTCACACCAGCCGACATTCTTAAATTCCTCGGTGTTGATGACAAAATTCAAATAAATAAATTATGTCATCTCTAATAGCTTAAACTTTTAAAAGAGGTGGCTTAACAAACAAATACTTAGATTCAAGTCTTGCTGCCATATATTTAGGAAGATTGCATATGTGTCCGGCTCCAATGAAAAATAAATCTAGTATATACCTAAGGGGGCGTGTTAAAGAAAAATTTAAATCATCCCCTCAAACAACTTAAACTTTTAGATGAGTAGTTTAACACTCAACATCACTACAGCAGACAACAAAGTGTTCCCCTTTGTACCAGCAGTTGGGGGATCAACACAGATTTTTAAGCAAAGTAGACTTCCTACAATAACAAAATACATAGAAGAAGCAGTGGACTCCTGCATTGCATCCGATGACCATCAGTCCTGTAAGACCTTCTATATTTCAAGAATAAAAAGACAATAACAAACTCGATCAATCATAATAACGTCTACCAGTACCTCGCAACGGAAAATGTCAATGGGAATAACAGAGAACTCCACAAAATAAATATGGAGAGGCCTTGTGTACGACCTTAAGATGGGAGCTAATAGTAACTTCAGAAAATGACTTAAAACCCCTAATAAAAAAAAAACTTCCAACAACATTTTCTTTGTAAATATCCTTCCTGTTAATTACTTTCCATCAATGCCTTACAATTATGGCCTCTAAATTTCTAATCTCAAAACAAGTCAGCATCCTCAGCTCTGGCTGCTATAATTACCAAAATGGTGATGATATTACTGTTCTCCAGCCTCCTGAAATAATATGTCAGCCTTCAATCTTCTAGTAGAAAAGCCTGCAACTATTGTAACTTAGCCCCTTGAAATTTCCAATCTCAAATAAATTAGCATCCTTGACTTTGGCTTTACCATAACTACCAAAATCTTGAAGCTAATACTAATCTTCAGAATTTGAAATAATATTGAAAGGTCATAACTTCCTATTAAACAAGCTAAAGACGCCGATTAAACTCAGCTGCAACTGTACCTTCTGACTTACCATGCAATGACAAAAACACTAATTCAAGAAAACGAAGGCATGTTTCAAAAGTAAATGAAAAAGTACAGCAAATAGAAACTACTAGTTTAACTTATTTGTCATTCATACTTTCACAAATATAGCTGAGGTTCAAAATTTTGCTGCATTGACTACAGGCAGTGAACTATTATTATCATGGAATACCAATTACAGAAACAAATTACAGCAAAGTACCTCACATCCGTAAAACAAAAAGGACCTTCTTGTTAACTTAATATAAGCATACTGGTAGAAAACTGAATTAATCCTGCTGGAAAAAGGGCAATAGGAGAAGAACATTCACCAAATTAACGAATCCGCAAGAAACTTGAGGTCTATTATCATCCAGTTTGGTTGAGTGGCAACTTGGGAGCGAGTGCCATGGCTTGAAGCTCCTTTTGCTTGAGATAATGATTCAAAATCGTAAGCCTAGCTGTCTCAAACGCAAAGTACCCTATAGCTGAAAAGCAGGCACTATGAAGAACTCTAGGCCCTATTCCACGAGTAAATCCAACCCATCCTTCTTCCTTCAAAATCTGTTTAACAGTGGCTGCAATTCCACCATACATTGCAGCAGCAACCTTATTCGTGGCCTCTCTGTGAACCTGAGTCATCAACCTAGTCTTCACCACATCCAAGGGGGTTGTCAAAGAAGCTGATATTGCCCCTGCCAATGCCCCACAACAAACACTTTGAAATGGCTCTAAATTAGCCTTTCTCGTCTTACTCAAAACTGCAGCTTTCAAGTACTCAAACGATGAATAACTCAGCACTCCAGCAGGCAAATTCCTAAGCAATGTAGCACTATACCCAGCATAAAGGCCCAAAATGCCATCTTTTTCCAAAATACTCAACAAAACATTCCAAGACCTCCCCTTTGCACCAGCCTGCATTCTCTGAGTAATCAACTCCTTTGGAACCATTATAGCAGACGACACAATATTCCCCATTGCACCAGCAGTTGGAGGAATCAATAAAGGCGGGTACTGTGGAATTCTAGACAAGATCGACTTCCCAAACTCACAGGTCCCAAAATACACAGCAGAGGATGCAGTCGACCCGACTATTACTGCAGAAACCCCGCTGTAAAATCCAAGAATTCCCCTACTTTTGAAAGTCTTAACAATGGCGTCAACTGTGCCACTATAAATTTCTGATGCCCCCTTTGTTTGGAGCTTCGTTTTAATAGTATCAAGTGGATGAAGGCACACATAAGTGAATGCACCAGCAATTCCACCACCACCAGCACCAATGAGGGCCCTTTCAAGAACCGACAGTTCCTTAAACAGAGCATGAACGGTTGGGGAGCCTCTGGTAGCTGGCTTTAGCCAATTCTGAGAGGTGGGTTTTTCAGGGTTTTTAACTCTTCCTTCAATAGAAATAGTAGTTGATGAAAATCTGAGATTATTACAAATTTTAGGAAATTTTGTGTTGTGCTCCGATCGATGTTTAGGGTTTGGAGTAGAAATGACAGTGTTGAGGTGATTGAAAAGGGAATTAAAGTCATTGAGAGTGTGGGAATAGTGCGAATTCGGAGACAGGAGACTGAAAGATTTACCGATTTGAGTTTCCATCGGATATTGTTTCTGGAACTCAATTGGTTGCTCTGCTGTTGCAGGTCAGGTCATGATGGTTGAAGGAGAGATTGCCTTGAGACGTGTATGGATACAAGACGCAGATTAGGGAATGGCGAATTTTCAAGTTTTTGTGTAAATTTCAGATATTGACCCTAACCTTTTCGGAAAGTGTCGATCGCATCCACAACCTTTTATGTCTGGTATTTGTCCCCAATCTTTCGAAAGTTATCAAATTTGGGACATTCTAATAGATTCCGTCCCAAACAGACGTTAAGTCAGATCTTCTAATCAGTTAGTGGCTTTTAGAGAATATGGTAATGATTGAACCAAATTAATTATTTAAAAATTTAATGTAAACAATATGAATAAAAAAAATCTCATATAAGATTCTTACAAAATGAGTTGTTTTTATGTTGTTGTAAGTCAAATAAATTCATCATATGCTTGTATTTTGTTCCTCTTATGAAAAAGTAGATCTAACTCGAGGGTCCAACTCTCAAAGTTCGACTTAGGTTTGAAAAACTCAAGGTCTAGCCTTGAGTTGAATATTGACAAACCTTTGGATGGGAATTATCCAAAGGTCCTTCAACTATTTATTTATCAAAAAGTTAGAAATTGCGTTGCCAAACATGGAAGATTTATTACCTATCTGCACATTTTAAAAAGGTTAGAGACCAAGATACAATTTTTCCCTTGTTTGTTAGGGTGTGTTTGAGCCACATTATTTTGGAAAAATGTATTTTGAAATAAATAGATTGATGGAGAATGTGTGGTTGAAAAAGAAGGAAAAATTATTGATGTGATAGAAAATATTATTTTATTAAAGAATGTATTATTGAAAATGAGTAGAAGAATGAGAATGAAAATTTTAACGTGGTTCAAACAGAGGCTTAGTTTAAAAGTTTTTGGAGAAAATTATGATAGCAGTATCCACTCTATTGCTTGGGTTGTAAGTTAGTCTCCGACCTTTAGAACATAAAAATGTTGATCTTTGAATTTTTATTAGAAGTTGTATATCGATATGCAATGATGAACTCTACAAATGAGGAAAAGCCCACAAACTACAAAATTGAATTGAAGTAGTTAATTTAATATATTGAAATAATCACAAAATTTACCTCCACGGCAGTGATGATGTGTGGGGTGTTCCGACTGCTCTGATCAACGAATGTTACCTACAAAATGAGGTTTGGGCTTTCTCCCCCATTGTACCTCCGGTGTGAGAATCAGTCATTGTTTAAGGGAAATAGGAAGAATG